CAGGCTCCACCATCCAAAATTCAGCAAGATGCCTTGAAGTATGCGAGTTTTCTGCTCGAAATGTAGGCCCAAAAGTGTACACACTACTGAGTGCACATGCATATGTTTCAACTTGAAGTTGTCCAGAGACGGTCAAAAATGCTTGGCGGGCAAAAAAGTCCTCAGAATAATCAACTTTCCCATCCTTCTTGGAGAAACCAGCACTTAGTCTACATCTCTCCCCCAGCTTAAATCTTTCTTGCAGTTTCAAGAGGTTCTCTTTAGCTTTAGAAAGCCCAGCTACAGAAGCACTAATTTCCTCCTTGCTTGCTTTATCAGATTTAAGTTGAGCAACAGCTTCTCCTTTCTCCTTCACCACAAGCTCAGCAGCTTTAATATCGGCTTCAGAGGGAGCAGGGTTATCTTTCAGCTCCTTCTCTAATTTTTCTGCTTCACTAATTAGGGTTGTAACTTGGAACATCTCGCCAGCACCCTCACAATCACTTGTAGTAATAATAGGAGTGTGCACATAGAGGAAACCATGCTTTTGGAAGAATGTGTGAGTTGCATAAGCCAGTGCATTACGGATTCTAGCAATTGCAGATATCTAGACAAGTGAGTCAATTTAGAATTGTCAGCGAGAAAATCATAACAGTTGAACTAGAGATTAGCATTACAGAAGAAACCTTGAAACGCTAATGACTAAAATTGATACAATGGTCTGGTGTCTAGCAAATTATTGATACCAACCACAACAATCCTAACATCCTGGTTTTTGCTCAAGCAGCAAGTAATGACGATGATAGTTACCACTAGATCACCACATTATGAAATCACATTTGCAGGCATATTTGGTCTGCAATTCAAGCAGAAATTTCTTGGATCTAATATTTATATACAAATATGCGCCCATATTAAGAAATTTTCGTGTTGAAAATAATGAATCGCTCCAATCCACATGGTAAATGAGAAGTTAGAACTCACTGAATCATCCAAAAAATGTGCAAGCATGCATTTTCATTACAATTTGGAAGTTCAAGAATAATAAATCTAAATAAGCACATATCAAATGTGGCATTGGGTTTGACTTCAATGATAAATAGTGGAGTAGCAAAGCATCTGTGGATTGAAGCATACTCAGCTACAGTTCATTTAATCAACAGACATCCAACATCCTCAATATATGCCCTTGTTTGAGCCACATTATATTCCTAAGAATGCATTTTTGAATAGTGTATTGATAGAAAATGTGTGGTTAAAAAATAAAATATAAGTTTTGAATTTGCATGTAATAATGTTTTATTAAAGAATGTGTAGTTGAAATGATGTCAAATCACTGTTTAAGAATGTATTTTTCTTTTTGAAAAAATGTGGCTCAAACATAGCCGATATATACATGCATACATTTATGTATACATGTATCTATGTATGTGTCTACACACACACACACACACATATACGGATTGTGAACTTCATTAGTATTATCTGTTGAAGTAGTTCATTCGAGAACCTAGTTCAGAGATTTTTAAACTTCTCTATTCCAAATATATATTCAGCATGCCTATAAAGGAAAAACATAATCGCCATACACGATTACACATGTGCCCAGTGTATCACGGACTTGTTTACTGTTCAAATCTTACTGAAAGTTTATAAGTTTTTTTTTCCCCCTAACTTCTGCAATTTATGGTAGCATTCAAGCAAGTCACTATTGTTACTTGTAAAACCATATAAGGAAAAATTAGAAAATTAACAAGTGAAGTCGTTTCATTTAGCATATGTTTGGTTAATGTTTATAAATTGTTTATTAGCACACATGCCACTTTTTATCCACATATTTTGAGAGACTCATAAGTAGTACCCACTTATCCACCACTCGTTGCTATTATTTATAAGTTTCATGGCATTAATAGAATCGAAGAAGGAAATCCAATCTGAAAAATCTAGTCCTTGAGCAAAAATCCAACATACCTTTTCCTATGTAAGAGAAACGGAATTTAGTTACAGAATATATAGAGTAGAGTAAGCTAACACGTAATTTTCATTAATTTGTCAAAGCTTAAATCTTTTAATGTACAAACTCAAGTATTCAGCTTGTTCTCAATTATGATGTGATTTAAAGCAAACCCCTACTAGAAACACTGTAAATATGCACGTAGACAGAAAGTAACAGTCATATCGTATCAAATGATCAAAGTCATCAAACAAGATATTAGTTTATATGCAAGTAAAATTTTTGAACAAAAAATAAATAAAATACGAGTTAACTTTACACTGAATTTCAACTTGACCAACAAATTCTAAATTGTTTGTTTACACCCTGAACTTGAAAAATTATGTTAATCACCCAGATCTGCCTACTACCTGGACATCATAGAAAATCATTTCTATCCCAGATAAAGTACAAACATGGAGAAAAATATTCGTACAGATAACTCATTAAATTCATATCATAAAATAAACAAACATAAAAACACATCAAGAGGAAAAAGAGATATTCATACAGTGTTAGTCCTCGGGCGAAGATGAACGACATCTCTGAGAAACTCAAGAGTTAATTTAGTTTTTGGCAATGGATACTTCCCTGCATCTACAGGGCCAACGCTGATAACGTTTTTCACTCGTAATTCGATCTTCTGCTTCGCGCCTTCTGGAGGAACCTTGAGCTCGCCCTCCACGTGTACACAGGTCCCAGTAGGCACCAAATCGCTCAACTTATGCACGCCGGCGTCGACAATCACCTGCAAGTTCCAGGGGCCCGATCCATCGTTAACTTCCAAAAATGCGAAACTGCCTTTCCCCTGCTCCCTACCGGTTTTCACCCATCCCCCAATTCGGACCGTCTGGCCTGCAAGACCAGACCCGCCATCGGCCCGGGAAAGGATGGAGTGTATCAGGACCCGCTGGGAGAATTGGGCCTCCTGTACAGCGTCTTTCAGTGAAAGTTTATCCAATGACGGCGGCGCGGCCGAATCGAGTGACATTATTGCAGTGAGGATGGGAATTGGACTGTTGCGAATTGCTTTGAATTTTTTCTAAATCCCTAGCGTTAATTGGGGATTTTTATATGGTGGATTAAGGTAATAAACTAAATTCCTTGTCAAAGCGTTATGATAGTAACCAATGAAGGTATGCCACGTTGCAGACAGATAAGTTCCTCGATCCTTGGAGGACAAGCATAAATTTGTCTTAATTAATTACTATTTTTATTAACATTCATATTTCATACGCAATGTTTAAAGCTTTAAACCCTATTTTTTGGATAATAAATTTTATAATAATATTTTTTTCAGAGATTGTATAGTTAAAAGTAAAAAAAATTTAAATTTATGTAAAAAAATTATTTTAATGAAAGATTACATGATTAAAAAATTTGGAAAAAAAAAATATATGACCCACACAGGAGCTTAATTAAATATGTCCTTATATCCCTTCATTAAAATTTCATTAATTTTTATAGTTATCAATTTTTTCAAATTTAACCATTGTTTGGACAGTACATTACTTTCATTTGCACATTTTCGTAAAATCCACAAACATTGCTCAATTATTCATCATTGATTTTTATATATTTATAATTCAAAATAGTTCTCAAACATGCTTTAGATTGTTCTCTGTCATAGGGTGGTGAATTCAAAATAATAACGTTCATACATTTGGACAATACTAATTTCGTATTGGAGATAATTTTCAAGAATTCAATTCGGGTGAGCATAAATCTTGTTTTTATTACTCGAGCAAAGCTCATCGTAAAACAATGCCCTTGTTTGAGCTCCATTTTTACCAAGAAAATATATTTTTGAATAGTGTAATGATGTGAAATGTGTGATTAAAAAATAATAAAAAATTTTAGATTTTCATGTAATATTATTTTATTGAAGAATGTGTGGTTGAAATGATGTCAGAATACTGTTTAAAAATGTATTTTTTCAAAAAAATTGGGACTCAAACAAGGGCTAAATATATAAAATAAATTCTCCAAAAGTGCTGTTGATTCTGCTCTAATTGCCAATATTCTCGCCATCTTCTTCCACTAGTTGAAAACAATTAGCATTTTTCTTCCATAAAACAGATTGACATTAAAAAGATACGATGGAGTAACTAAGAATCTACATAAAATTAACAATACGAAATATTCTAGTGTGCTAAACAGGGAATAAACAATTAAGAAATTAAATAAGAACGTGTTAACGGAGTCGAGGATAACAATATAACATATACTTGACAAGTTTGAAATCCTAGTGAACTTGCCTCCAAATCCTAGTTGAGTCGCACACAAGACAAACCTCCAATACCTTAAAAGTGAATGTCACTAGCTTAAGCCATTGGATAACATTGAATTTTGTATTAAAATATAAAATAAACTGAAATTTTTAATGAAATCTTATCAAGTACTGCATTGTCCATTTTTATTCTTTCTTTGTGTCCGTCAAGAACACAACCAATAATTTATCGATCACTCACAAAATTACCCTTAGTAAATATTCTTTCAGCTTGCTCAATCAGTTTCAGTAATACTGAACAATTCAGCCCAAAACAACACAATTTGATAAGCACTACAAAATAAGTTTTCAACCGGCCATTATAGATCTGGATGAAAAGAATTTTCTCACTACCCTTTACCTCACCAAGCAAATTTCATATTTCCCAGTTGCCCTAATTTTATATTTATCCACCAAACTGTTCAACCAGTGCAGAACTTAAAGCATAATGGATGGAGACTGGTAATTGAGCAGAGCTTATAAGATGCAGCTATGCCATCACACATTTTAGAGTGATAACAGGTACAATTAATCACATGCTTTCGGTTTGCATTATCAACCTCAATGAGAAAAGACTCTTTTTCCCCTTAGACAAGTAGCATTACCTGAGTATTCACCGTTGTTCGGTTTTGCACGAAGACTTGTAAATGGGAAGATCACTAAGGGAAATAGATTTATACATCCAATTCCCCGAGTTGGATTACAAAACAAATACCGAAACTAATTTACAACATAACAACTACATATAAATCAAATCCAGGAAGTAAGGTAGCATAGATAAGGAATTCATTTCGAAATTGATTTAAACTTAAACAAAACTTTCTTTAACCTTGTTAAGTCATTAGATGATCAACATAATCAAAGCAAAAATATAAAACAACGCTTAGTCTACAAATTAACAATGCTCTTCACACATTTTTTGAAAAACAATTAACTCAGCTGACAAATTCATTTTGACCGATAAGAGATACTGGCATCTCCAGTTTACTTCTCTGATGAGTTTGGTCCCCTCTTCTTTCCAAAGCCAACAACTACAAATAGCAACAAATTGCACCAGTCAAATTATATTTCTCAAAAGAGCCCACAAAAACTTCGAGTTGAGTGGCTCATTATTTTTGCTTAGAATCTTGAACTCTTGGGATATAACTATATAAGTCACTTCTCATGGAAAAGGTTTCAGATAACAATTTACAAGGTAGTTACCCAAGACAGCAAAAAAATGTTTACCTATTACACGTGCAAAATAAATAACAGAAATTTATTATTTTTTTTTTTCTGCAAGTAATGCAGAGTAAAAATACAAAATATATTACAGAACCCATTCGTGGATTATGATTTCACATCTAAAAAGGATCTTAACCATTTAACACTTGTTCATGTGTAACAAATTAGCAGGAAACTTCGTCATAAGTGCCAAAGCATCAACTTAACCAAATTTCCAGATTCTTTTATTTGTAAAATGTAAAAATGATATAGCATATGTTAGAATAATAGGATTAATGACCTAGTCGTTGGTCCTTGAACTTGTCAGCATACTCAAAACTCAATATCGTGCCTTAAAAATTAAGGGTCCGTTTGATTGCAAAGATGAAATTAAATTGCCTAGAAAACGAATTCCAAGGAATTCAATTGCCTATAAGGGTGCGTTTGATTGCACAAATTTTCCATGGAAAATGGGTTTTTTCCACCTAATTTCCTACTTTTGTCTTGTTTGATTAACAATTTTTTCCAAGGAAAATACTTTCCTTGTTTTGATCACGTGACCACATTTTCCTTAAAAACAAGGAAAATATTTTCCTTGGGATAGGGTGGATTTTATTTTCCATGGAATTTAACCCTTCCAAAAATTCTAGTAACCAACCCACGTAAATATCTCTCTCTCTCCCTCTCTCATCTCTACCCAAGTACCCTCTCTCTCATCCATTCAACCTGCTCTCATCGATTGAAAGGAACCAGGAAGGCGTCTCACTCTCTTATCGATTCAACTGAACTAGGAAGAAGAAATCGACAATCTGCCTCCGGGGAAATCAATGCGAAAGGTTGGCAACGAGGCGGTGACTGCATAGATTGAGGTAAACAGCTCTTCAATTTGAGATTTCCTTATCTTTAACTATTATACGAAATGAAGAGTTTTCTTAGCAAGTTCGAATCCGCTCTGCAATTGCTTCACTCCAAAACAATCAGCATACAAATCTTTTGAATCCATTTAAGCCTTCAATTCCTTTTATTTTTAATTTTCGACTCAGAAAACTGACCCATCATTTTTAAGTTTCTGATGCCGGAACATATTCTCAAACCCAAAAGACTTTCTCCTTTGGCAGGTAAGAGTTACATAACTTTAATTTATTTTTAAACAAAAAAAACATTGTTATGCCAGTTGTAGATGATGATGCATTTTATCCCGGTTTGTAATTCAATTTTATTATTTATTGGGTTATAAATGCATTTTACAAATTGGGCTTTTCCTAAATGATTTTTGGGTTTTATTAGGGTACTGAACTTTTAATTTTTTAGGTTTCTTGTTAGAATAAAGCTTATGAGCATCATTTGTGTGTGTGTGTGTGTGTGTGTGTATATATATAATTTTTTTTTTTTATTAAAAATTCGAGAGCAATCCAGAAGAAAGGTACTTTTATGTATTTTTTGGAAACTTGAAACCAAAAATGGAATATTATTGAATTAATGAACTTGAAACCAAAAACTCTCCATCTATTCTTTGCTTACCAGTTGAATCTGCCTGCTTTACATGGTCTCTAGCAGGAGTTGAGCAACTAATTGCTAAGATTTGAATGAAAGTGAGTTACGGGGTTGGATTAAAATTGATCTGTTCAATAGTAATGTAATTAGAAGCACGTGTCTTAGTTGCTTGTATATTGGGTTAATGTTGGAAAATTTACTTAAGACGTTATAAAAGAGTTATGTGGATCAATCAAAATGGTAGTTAGACCAAAAACCTTTATGACGCCTCTTCTTAACTACAATCAGGGTAAAAAAGATTAGTAATTATTGGACTGATATTGATATTAGAGAAGCTTGCATCAGAGCTATGAACTCAAATTGCCCATCATGCTGTCATGAATTCAAAAACCATGTTGCTTTTAGAAACACTGCATAACTCTGTACAAATTGACTATACGTAGATCAACTTTTGATGTTGAGTACTTTTGATTAATGTCAAATTTGTATTCAAGTTGCGCTCAAACGACTTGGTATTGGATTGTGTATACTAGGATTTTCGCACTATTGTCACTATTGTACTACACAGTTGTTGAATTTTCTCACCAGAAACTTTTGGCTCCTCCTCACCTACCTTGTTTTCACACAATTAATACCCCCACTTAGACCTTAACAATCCAACACACACAGAGAGAGACCTATTATATGTATCACTCTTATTCTTATATTCACCTCCAAAATACTTGCATTCAACTCACTAGAGTTTAAAGACTTCAAAATCATGAAGAAATTCTTCTTTCCAGCTCTTCTTCTTGTAGCTCTTGTAGCGCAACTTGGAATGTGTGAGTGGAATTAACCAAATGGTCAGTAATGCAATTTTTAAATATTTTGACTATTTTATGTGGGAAAAATGAGAAAAATATTCCAAACCTGTCATTATAACTAAAACATCCCAAAATAATTCGATTAATTAATCAAGATGTCATTATAAAACATTAATTTCACACTTTTAGTGATCTAATTATCAGAATCCTATGCAATGTGCTTACATTTTCCTTTCTTTTTTCTTCTCGAGTTGTGTCATTTAGCAGCTTGACAATAACTAATACTCTCTTTAAATAAATTCTTTTTTTTCTCCTGGTAGATTCAATTGATACATTCAAGATGTTTATAAAAATGAGAATGTGAAAAGTGATATTTTCTTACTTTTATCTAAAAAAGTCATAGCATCTCATTGGAGCAATTAACTAGATATATATGTGTGTGATTTTGGACATTTAAATATACAAATTCAAACATTATTTTAATCTTACATTGAATTTTTATTTACAGTGGTAGTTTATAGCATGGCTACAACAACGAATCAACGTCGATGCCGACGACAACAGTTAGGTTTATTTTAGACGATGATCATGCAAGCGATTGTAATATATAATGAACTTAGGTGTCGTGCACGACATCTTCCAAGAGCTCCTCATACAAATTGGAATTCTGAAAGAGAAATAACACTTACACGAATGTTTGGCACGAGTGATACAATATGTCGTGATCTCCTTAGGATGAAAATAGGTCCATTTCAAAGATTATGTGCTCGTTTGCGAACTTATGGATTGGTTGATAGGAAATACGTTCGAATTGAGGAACAAGTCGCAATTTTTTTGAATACAGTCGGGCATGACCAACGTAATCGCGCTGGACGTTTTACTTTTTTTCATTCTGGTCAAACAGTGAGCTTTTACTTTCACGGAGTCTTACACGCTTGTCTTAGACTGTATAGAGATGTTGTGACTAATGCCACTCCTCATAACTCACCATACGAAAAAGAAAATGTGCAGCATTGGTACTCCTTTTTCCAGGTTAGTGGTTTGTAGTTATTTCGTCATATTTCTTAAAACTTCAATATACACATTTATTTTGAAACGTATTCTTTTTTAAAGGATGTCGTAGGAGCAATCGATGGTACACATATTGCTGCGTATGTGCCTTTAGAGGAGCAAGGTAAATATCGCAATAGAAAGCAAGTGATCTCCCAAAATGTTTTATTAGCTTGCACATTTGATATGAAATTTACTTACGTGCTTGCCGGTTGGGAAGGATCCGCACATGATGGTCGATTGTTACGGAGTGCAATATTACGCCAAGGACATAAGCTAACAATTCCTGTTGGTAAGTTGTGTCACTATTTTGAAAACATTTCTTCCACACATAAGTTATAATAATTACCTAATTACCATCTTATGAACAACTCTTTCCTAGGTAAATATTATCTTGTTGACGCTGGCTTCCCATCAGTTTCGGGTTTTCTTGCACCATATCGTAGGACTCGTCATCATCGTAGAGACATTGAAGGTCAACGTCCTGAAAGTAGTAAGGAGTTGTTCAATTTTCGACATTCATCTCTACGTAATGTTATTGAGCGTACAATTGGTTTGCTGAAAAAAAGATTTGCATATTTGAGACATCAACCCTATTACGACATTGACACACAAGCAAAAATAGTCCTTGCCTGTTCTGCCATCCACAACTTCTTAAGAATTGATGACGTTGAAGATGTTTGTGAGCAGGACGACTTAGATAGTAGTGATGATGAGGTTAACCCTACGCATGTTGATGTACCTGAAGATGAAACTCCAAATGCTGACATATCTTTCACAAATCAGGAACTGTGGCCTAATAAGAGGAATGCGATTGCTGATTTAATGTGGGCTGATTATCTTCCCAATCAGAATGCAGGAATTGATGTTGCTTGAAATCTGATTTTTTTTTCCATTTTTTTCTTGTGGCTTTTTTTTTTTTATTTTTTTTTTCTTTTTATGTAATGGATTTATACTTACTAGACTTTTATCTGTAGTAATTACTTGAATTGAAGACATATTGACATGAAGCATATTTTTTGCTTTTTTTTTTCATGTCCTATAATAGTTGACATAAACTTGCTAGAATTTTAAATATTGTAATTTGAATTACTGTTATTCGATACAAATTGTTGACATATAATTTTCTTAAATGTTCTTGTTTATTAATCTTGCACTATAGATATCATGGCAAATATTCGACAAAGCTCTACGGCTCCTTATCGAGTTCCTAGACCAGCCCTCCATTCAGACGTGGAGGAAATAAGCTCAACCCAAGCGGATCCTAATTCTAGGAATCGTCAAATACGTTGGAGTGATGCAATGGATAGTTGTATGGTAACTGCACTACAACATCAAGTGTTGGCTAGTCACAAAAGAAGTGACAATAGCTTTTCATCATATCACGTGTCCAAAGCAATCGAGAGCGTGCACAATGGATGCGGAGTCGTGGTGTCTGATAAGAATGTGAGGGCGTGATTGAAAACTCTGAAAAAAGAATATGTTGAAGTTCGTCAGTTGTTAAGTATGAGTGGTTTTAGGTTAGATCCTCATAATGGACGTGTCACAGCCAATGTACTAGCTTGGGAGGAGTTGTTGAAGATACAAAATTTCATTGACCAACGAAAGTATTATTCCTTAAATATTAGTAATATAATTTATTTTGACCACTGACTAGCGTAAAACATATTTCACTCTTTTTCTTGTAGGGCAAACCAGAATTTGGAAAGTGGAGGACCAAACTTTGTGCTCGTTATGATGATTTGGAGGCTATCTTTGGAAATGATTCTGCTACAGGAGATCGTGCTGTAACCGGCAATGACATTTTATCCCCCGAACATGGTACGTACTAGATCGTACATAAAAACTTATATAATTCGTATTATATTAGAGATTCTAACAAATTCTTATTTTATTAATTTTTTTAGATGAAAATGTGCATGAAGTTGATGGTCAAAATGAGGATACCGAACCAAGTCCCATTCGTGCTCCTAAGCATAACGCTGAAGGAGGAACTAACAAAGTTCGCCGTCGACGTACTCAACCTAATGATGAGAGTCTCGTTGCCCTATCAAGCATTGCCGAATCATCTAAAAAAATTGCTAATGCTATGGAGACTCAAGCAACATTAGATACACTAAACCACATCAATTGGCAGTTGGTTCTAGAAAAATTACAAGGCATGAGTATAGAAAAGAGTGACATAATGCAAGTAATGAAAATTTTTCGATCGGATGAGAGTCTGGCTAGAGAATTTATGAGTTTGACTGATGAAGAATTCATGCGTGATTTAGTATTTGAAATTCTGGGCCGTGATCCGCCTCCACTATTTTAAGATGACGTGCTTGGATAATTCAACAAACATATGTGGAAGTATGACATCTATGTTGATTTTATTTCCTATTTTCTTATGATAGAGATTTTACGGGTTTTTTCATTTTCGTTTTATGTAATACGTTGGACGAAATTTCATCATTATTTATTGAATTGATTATCTGATTATTATTTTTGATTGCAAAGAAGAATATTTAACTGGTAGTAATCTAAATTGGTAGGGATAATTATTTCATCTCGACAGTGTTTATGCATCTTTCGTACCGAATCTTGGCATGTTTTTATCCATAAATTAACTGCTATATTAATTAGGATTGATTAGGATTTGGCCGAATTTATGTCTATAATTTGTTTAAGAGTTGGAACATTCATTGACAAATTTTCATGGAAAAAATCCAATATTTTCCATGGAAAAAGTGACAATTTCCATGGAAAATAGTGCTTGTCAAACAGATAAAATTGGAAAAAATAACAATTTCCATGGAAAATAATGGCTATCAAACACCTAAAGTTGGAAAATTATAACATTTTCTAGGTTGAAATTTAAGTCAATCAAACATGTGTAATTAACATTTTCCACGTAAATAATTTCCAGGCAATTGAATTACCTAGAAAATATTTTCTTTCCATGCAATTTTCCTACTTGCAATCAAACGCACCCTAATTGTTTTTCTGGAAATGTAAATTATTGCGTTTGATTGGTATAATTTTTCACGTGAAAAATGTTAAAATAAAAGTATTTTTCGATGTCCGTTTAGCTTTGTTTTACATGAAAATTGTCAATTAAATGGATGACATTTACTGGTATTGGAAATGAAATTAGTTTCCATTGCCAAATAAAAAAAAATTCAAGAAAATCATCTATCTTTGGGTGTTTGTTTGGCTTTGTTTTACATAGAAATTGTCAATTAAATTAAAATATTTTTTTATAATAATTCTTAGAATTTGTTTCTATTACCAACAAAAAATAAATAAATAAATAAATTCGTCCAAAAAAAATAAAAAACTTGCTTCAGTGCCTGGAATTCCAATTCTCGCCATATATGGTGAGAATTAGAATTCCATAAAAACCAGGAATTGCACAACTTTTAACAAAAACAAGAATTGATTTCCATGGAATTTAAAATGCTATCAAACAACTAAAAATGGGAAAAGAAGTAATTGAAGTTCCATGGAAATAAATTCCATGCTATCAAACAGGCCCTAAATATTTTTGCTCAGTTAGTCTGCAAAATAAATTTCTTCTGCTAAAAATAAACATAAAAGGTTGATTTGGCTAACATCATGCTTACGTTCAACAGTTATTTTTTTATTTTTTTTTGGGTATTTATGAAAACAAAAAAAAAAGACGCAAAAACATGATACAGCCAAGTTACAATAATATATCTAAGCAACTGAAAACACAGAGAAATAAAATGTGCAAAAACAAAAATTAACAAATATCGATTAATTAACGAGGAAAGTGAAAAATGGTCTGCAAAACTAAATTTACCGGCGGTGACGAAGCGGCGGTTGTATTGCATCCGCTTGTGAGCACGGCCACGGGGCTTCTTCTTCTTGTCCTGCTTGGCCACCTTCGGTGTTTGCCCTCTCACTTTACCGGCACGTGCCAGTGATCCGTGAACCTTACCTGCAAATAAATCGTTAATCAGCTCATCAACTCAACATAAAACAGTGGATTTGAACTTTCGGCTTCGAAAATTACCCATGGATGATTTCGGTGAGTAGAAATTTAGAGAGAAGCAACTGCTGGATCGATTCGAGCGAAATATGGTTCTAGATGTTTAGGGTTTTTTTTCCCTGCATTTATATGGTTAAACGGGCTTTACGTTAAATCCAGATTCAGAGTCGGCCACTTCGTATTTGGGTGTACTAAACTTTGATCGGGACTGAAATCAGAGTTTTAAAATAGATTTTAATAAAAATTGATAAAATATATATTTGAAAAATTGTGAAATTCATAAAATATATTATTTATATTAATTGTTAATTTTGACTCGAATTAAAATTTAAACTTTAATTTTTATCAAGCAGTGGTTTAAATTGGACCACGACACCAGTATTGGAATAATTTATGGGAAAATTTTAGATCTAATGATACATTTGATTGTCAATATTTCTCATGAAAAATGTCATTTTTCCTTCAAATTTCTACTTTTGAACTATTTGATTGATATTTTTTATGGAAAGTATTTTTTACTTTTGATTACATGACCGTATTTTCTTTGAAAATAAAGAAATTATTTTTTTTAGGGGAAGTAAATTTTTATTTTAAAATTAATTCTCTCTCATCTATCTCTTTTTATCTGGTCTCATATATCCATCAATCAAAAATGGACAAATATAATATTTTCTAAATTGAAAATTAAAGCAATCAAACAGATTTAATCGTTAATTTTCATGCGAATGAGTTATAGGCAATTTAATTGCCTGTAATTTATTTTCTTTCCATGTAAATTCATTGCTTGCGATCAAACACGCTCTAAGAAATTAAGTTTGCCCATTTTAAAACTTAAAAAATAAGATTTAAAACTTCAAAAACCAATTTTTATTAAATACATCAATATCACAATTTTATACAATTTGACCACAAATTCTTAAATTAAATGATCACAAAATATTTTACGATCATGAAAAGATTTATATGTCACAATTTATTAATCTTTCACAAGTAAAAAATTTTATATGTCAAAATTTATTAATCAATCACAAATTACAAATTTGATAAATCATATTATTTATTAGTCACAATATACAGTCACTTTTTTTTTTTTTTATCTCAAGATATTCAAATTATTGGTCGCAATTTCAAATAATTGATCAGAAACTCTCTCAATCACACCACCTATGCCACCCAACCCTAATCTACCATGGCACCACCGCCGCCACCATCTACAACAACTATCATTTTCAACTTCAAAATCACCATCACCACCTTGCAACCACTGCCACCAACAAGATTTAACAAAACCACTACCATCGACGCCAAAAAAAATTCCAACAAATCATATCCGCAACATGCTCACCACCACAACCACCTACACCATAACAGAACCAACACCACCACCACAAGCATTGTGAACAACCAAATGCTGCATTATCACTGCCATCACCACCAACGCTTGAACATCCACCGCCATCATCATCACCCACAAATAACCACTAACAAACAATCAACCGACCATTAGAAAACCACCAACAAACCAACGGTGCCGCGATCTAAAAACCACCAATAAACCTACGTGCGACGCCAATGCTTGCAAAGAGGTACCGCGTAGTGCCACTGCTTAATGGTGGAGATAAGTCGTCGAAGAGCTACGCTTCAGCAATGGAGATTAGTTGTCAGAGCGATAAACGAGAGAAGAGAGAAAGAAGAAGAATAGAGGGAGAAGGAAGATGGAAGCGACTGGGGGGTTTTAGATTGAAAATCGAGTTGGGTCAATGATGAGGGTGGGGCATCATCTAATTTTAGATAAACAAACTTTAAATCAAATTTTTAAGTTGGATCTTAAAAAATTTGACGGCTATAATTCCCACTTAATTTATTGGGCTACTCAAATATATTTTTACATCTTCTCCCAATTTTCAGCTTATCATTAATTTCGAAAAGTAGGGTGCAATTTTTTTCTTTCAAAAATCAAGTGTATCCTCTCGACCACCAACCCATCCACTATAAATGCTGATTTATTATTTTGATTATGCAACATATACATAATAATTACATATACATGATGTGGTGAGATATGATTATGTTAGAATTTCATCAACCAAATAAAAAAAAGCCTCCCCTCTATTTTTGACACGTCATATGTATATAAACTATTATATAGTTTCTTATGTACAAATAGCATTATTTTTATTCGTTCACCCATTTTCCCAAGTCACAATCACATCCGCACCAATATAATTGCCGTTCGTCACCACCGCCTATCATGGACACTGTCACTACCATGACACCGCCATTGGTAGTCATGGTGCTATTGTTGCTGCAATTGCAACTTTGCCCGACTGTGATCTTGAGATGGTGCACCTCCTATGTCAGAACCCATCGATGCCTCAGAGAAAAAGGATAGGGAGAAATTAAGGTTCGGGTGAAAATTTAGGGGCGAGAGCCTCTAGTGCAATTTGTGAAATTACAAGTCTCTACTTGCAATTTCAAATTGGGAACAGTTTAGAAATGGTAGTGGTGTAAGTCGAATTAGGGTGTGGTGTGTGGGCTCATTTTGACAAATAAAAAATGGATAATTTTTACAGCTGCATAATTTGTTATAAATAAAATGTGTAATCCATGATTAATAAATAATATGTGACATAAAAAATGTGTGATTAAGATTAAATCTATATTTGTGACTTACAATTTGTTCTTTGTCATTGTGATCATAATTATGTGTTATTTGTGACTGACATATTATTGTGACATTGATCTATTATCAGGTTGTCACAAAAATTTTGAAACATTTTCCCAAATTTTTCATTTTTGAAAATGTGTATTACAAGTTTTGTAATTAGTCGCCCGTTTGAGTTCCATTTTTCGCTAAAATCACATTTTAAAATAACAAATTGATGGAGAATGTGTAATTAAAAAATAAGAACAAGTTCTAAATTTATACGTAATATTATTTTATCAAAAAATGTGTGATTGAAAAAAAGAAAAAATATATATTTTTTGAAAATAATGAAGACTAAACAAAGCATATGTAATCTTCCGAATTTTTATTCTGTAATAATATTTTCAAAATCTTCTCCAACCTTCTTTAATTCATCAATAATATTTAATATGGCAGAAAATTTTATTTAAGAAATTACATAAACCTTCCACGATGTATTTGACATGCTCAGAAACATTTCTTTTATCTAACTTCTAATAAAAAGGGGAAGAAATATCTACTATTCATGCAATTGTAAATTAATCCAATTTTATTTTCCATTTTGTTTATGTCAAACAAATGTTCTTTCACACATCATCCAATTAGCATTAAAAAAATAATTATGTCAAATAAATGTTCTTTCACACATCATGCCACTAGCATTAAAAAAATAATAATAATTTTAGTAAATATAAATTGCCATGAGCAAAAAAAAAAAAAACTCTTTGCACATAAACTTTAAAAAAATAAATAAATAAACTCTCCGCACAGTGCGAAATAAAAAAGAAAGAAAAAACTCTCGTATAGTGCGAAGAGATAACAAATCATGTGCGGAGAGTTGGCAAACTCTCTGTATAGTGCGAAGTAAAATAAAATATCTCCGCACAGAACAGAGAGATAGCAAACACCATGACAAAACTCTTCGCACAGTGCGGAGAGATGACATTCTGTGCGAACAGTTCGCACAATCTGTGTGGACACTGTCCTCACAAAGTGCGGAGTAAAAAAAGTTAAACAAAAAAAAACTTTGCACAGTGCGGAAAGTTGGCAAACTCTCAGTGCAGTGCGAAGTTATTAAAAAAAAAACTCTCCGCACAGTGACTTTCACGTGCGTTGCACAAATTTTTTATTTATCATATTTTTATTAGTGTATAAATTTTAATTTTTTGGAAAGTTTTTAAAGCAATATCTATAAGTATATTTCCACGATATATGAAAATAATTGTAAATTATTTTTACAATTGCATAACAGTATTGTGTCATTCAGAAAAAAAATATTTGTATATTTCATACTTGAATAAGAAATATATGAGATTATACAAATTATTTTATTTGTATTCTTTGATAGTGTTGATATGATTGAATTGAATGTGAAGATTATATTTCTAAATTTTATATAATTCAATATTGGAAAATTGAATATTGAGCACCATATTCATATGCATTTATATTTTGTGCTTTATATATATTTAATATTTATTTTATGCTTATGTTGAAAAAATAAAAATATGAAATTTTTTTTGAAATTCAGTTTGGTAAGTGAATGTACGGTGTTCTACATTCTCGGTATTTGTAAGTGCAAAAATCGGTATATAAAAATACAATAAGCTGCAAATACGGTAGGCAGCATATACGGTAAGATGAAATACGGTAAGTTGTTTGCAAATACGGTAGGAAGCATATACGGTAAGGTGCAAATACAACAAGTTATTTGCAAATACGGTAAACTGTATATATGATAAGCTGACTGCAAATACAGTAAGCTGCATATATGAATTTATAATTTGTTATAAATATATAAAATTTATTTAATATTGAATTTCTTAAGTATTAAATGTTGTAATTCAATATTGTTTTCTTTTTCATAATTCTATTTTCGAGAATTAAAAAAAAAAACTGGTTATGAAATTGCTAATTTTTAAATGTGTTTTTTTGTTGAAGATAAAAATGATTTTTTTATGTTATTTGTAAAAAAAAAAAAATTATTATAATTTTATTAACGTAATAGGAAGATTTATTATGCATTTTTATTTTTTACATTTTGTGAAGAATTTTGTTTATGATAATTCACAAATATTTTTCCACACACACACATCATGCCAACAATATTAAAACAATAATAATAGTTTTAGCATATATAAACTCCATGAGCAAAAAAAAAAAAATCTCCGTATATGAGCAAAAAAAAAAAAAAAGGACTCTACAAAGTGCGGAGAGATGGCAAACTATCTCTCCGCACAGTGTGAAGAGAAAAACAAAAACTCTCTGGACTTTATCTGCAAGTTCCAAGAGACATTTTCTCAAACAACTTTTGAGCAATACATTAGACACTTTAATTCTTAGCCTACAATCCGAAAGTATAATGTCATTGAAAATTGTATATGCTTCTAATATCCAAGAGCTATTATCAAGTAAGTGTAAAATATTGAATTTGGGTGGTACCCTAGAGCCTCCTTTTGTGAAAGTAATGTCATGGTACTATCAATATCCCCTTCTTTAAAAAAAGGTTGAACCCCAACCTTAAAGGTCTCTCACTGCCCCTGCCTTGGAGCATCGTGAGGGAGGTAAATCGCAGATTATGCCTCCAAGGGTACAGGGTGGAAGGCTGCTTGTACACTTGCACTTACCCAAGAGCCAAATCCATATTTCAGGATTCGAACTCTTGACACGGCAGCCTCAAGTAAAGCTGAATTTCTCCACCCTCCCTTTTTACCAATTGGAGATGTGCCCTGGGGGCTATCAATATCCCTTTTTTTTGCACAACTTACATATTGTTTCATTGTATGAATCACGAGAAAGCTCATTTCCAATACCGTAAATATGATTTGCATGCTCAGAAAATTGAGCTGTGACTGAAATTTAAAGAAGACATAATTAATTTTGATCCATGTTTTTCGACTCTATTTCATTGTATATACGAAAAATTTATAATTTTGAAATTTGACTTGTAATTAAGGAATTTGAAAACGACTCTCCGCATTGTGCAGAGAGTTTTTTCTCTCTGTACTGTGCGGAGAGCTTGTTTGTCACTCTCCGCACTGTGCGGAGTTTTTTTTTTTTTTTACTCTGCATCGTGCGAAGAGTTTGCCAACTCTCCACATATGGTTCAACTCTTTCCGCACTTTGCAGAAAGATTTTTTTTTCTCCACACTTTTTTTTTTACTTCACACAAAGTTCAACTCTCTACGCACTGTGCGGAGAGTTTTTTTTCTCTCCGTACTATGCAAAAAGAACACAGTGCAGAGAATTTTTTTTTGCTCTTCATACTGTACGAAGAGTTGGTTTGTCATCTCTTCGAAATGTGTGGAGAGTTTTTTTTTTTTTTTATTCTGCACTATGTAGAGAGATTTTTTTCTCTCCGCACCTTTTTTTATTTTTATTCCGCACTTGGTTTAACTCTCTCCACATTGTGCGGAGATTTTTTTTTCAATTTTACAATATTGAATTACACAAAATTTAAAAATATACTCTTCACCTTCAATTCAATCATCAACATTATCAAAGAATATAAGCAAAATAGTTTGTATATTTCTTATTTAAACATGAAATATACAAGCATATTTTTCTAGATAACGTACCGCTATGCAATTGTAAAAATAATTTACAATTATTTTCTTATGTCATGGAAATAATTTTAGATATTGCTTCAAAAAATTTCAAAAAAAAAAATTAAAATTCATACACTAATAAAAATATGATAAATACAAAATTCGTGCAATGCACATGATAACGACTAGTAATTTAAAAATTCTAAAGATACTCTCAGAGTATTAAACTGAAAGGTATAATAAATAAAATTTTAATTTCTTCGAACTAACGCTATCCAGTTCCATGCCTAATATCCTGGAAACTCGGTTTTTTATCCAATGTTAGGTGGCAAAATGTAAACATCAAGATCCCATAAAAAGTTTTAAGTTTACTTGCAAAGCAAATAAGTTATAAAATAATAACAATAAATATCTTTGTTAAACATGGCCAAGGCTGTAAAGCCATTCTTATTAGAACAAAGAACAGATAGGGTTTAAGGTAAAGCACGGAATAACCACGAAAACTTTTCTCAGAGCTACGTCCATCACAGGTAGCTGTATCTTCCACAGGAATTACAATTCCATTATCAAGTTCATTTACCTAGTTCACTTCGCTAGAGAAGGGGTTTTGATGTCGAATATGCTACTTATTGAGACAATCGAATTTAACACAACTGATTTCTCAGCTTTGACAACGTTGTAGGAAAACAAAATCTTGCACAAAGAATGTCAACTCAAAATAACCGCAATGATGATGCTGAACATCGACTGGCCCAAACATTTTACCAGGCTAGCAGTTTTCAGGGATAGTAACCAGTGAACGTAAATCCTCTTCCGACAATTTCACCAGCACAAAACCATGCAAAACACTCGAGGCCAAATAGAGCAGCAATGCCAGCATCTTCAACCTTCAGCTCCTGCCTGTGCTTCCACATGTTCTTGACATAATCAAGTTCCTTCCAAAATGATTCCGTACGGCCGGGAATGCTGCAAAGTCCAAGTAATGAGAACTACTAAACAGACTGGAGAAACTAATGCTCACAAACTAGCAAAACATGGAGATGCAACTCATTTAGCACTTTTTGGTTTGTTGTGAGGCATATGCCTCAATCTGTCCCGCCTCACAAAGGAAAAACACCTCAGTACCTATTTCCGCCTTTTTAAACATTGGGCGAAGGCAATTGACATCTTACAAAGTACATGACAAATACGACATTTGACTTTTGCAGCCAATTTCTTCTTAGAATGCTGTTATGCTTATGATTAAAATCCACCAAATTGGTACAGGATTAGGTGCGTAGCCATCCATATGAAAAAACATACCAAAGGTGGGCAAATAACTTGAATCTTAAAAATACGATTGGAATATACTATAATTAGCAGCCCACAGACCAAGGCATAAGCCTCAGTTAATCAAGGCATAAACCTCACAAATGGCACTTAAAGCGTAAGCTTTGAGAAGGTAAATGAAAGCCACGCGTCACAGGAATGACATGAAATAACTGTAAGTACAGGAGTTCAAAGTCAAATTAAAAGAAAGAAATGCCATCCGGGAATACATCTCAATTCTGAATGGTGTACAGCATGCATTAAAATAAATTAACCTTGCAAGACGAGTGTAGAACAGCTGCTTGGCCAATTCATTACATTTCTCCACAGTAGGTGGCTCTTGAATATATTGCTTGTTCTGCTCCAACAACTGCTTATAGTAGGAAGTTCCATGCTTGGCCACAAATTGTGAGGCTTGGGAGGCCTTTGCTTGCAATTGCTGCAACTTTGATGCCATTAAATCTGAAGTAATGTCTACGCATTAAACAAAAAGGTAATAATAGAAAAGGATTCTTATTCTTACATGACCGTGAAAATGTAAAATATTTCATTAAATCACGATGAATAAAATTGAGGTCCTTTTGAAGAAAAAGTGATGCCAAACACAAGGGCAATAAACTGAATAAAGGGTAAAAGTGTTGAATTACACAGCAGGACTTGTTGATAATTTCATAAAGCAAAATTTCAATTTTATGCGTCTTTAATCTAGATTGATCTGTCAAGAATCACATTGTTTACTAGTTATAAATACTTTGTTATTTACTTTGTTATTATCCCATTCATCTAGAAGTAGTGTTCTGCAGTGTTCTGCAAGATTCATATTTTATGGTGTGAAATGCCCTGTCAAATTTGACTTACTCTTGAAAGGACGAATCTCTCTATTCTCTTCTTTTCTCCCTACCCTCATCCTCCAAGATTCACCATATTGCACCCAATATCTTTAGAGCAACTCTTATTCCTAATCACTAATTACGATAGCCCAATCTATTTTTTGTGAAATCATAATCCTAAAACAATGAAAACATTCCAAATCTTACAAACTATATTCTCCAGTTGGTCAGTTACCATTCAAATCTCTTGCATCCAATGAAGCTCTCTCTTCTCCCTACCCTTCTCCTCCAAGATTCACCATATTGCACCCAACCTTTTAGAGCAACTCTTCTTCCGAATCACTAATTAGTATCACCCAATCTATTTTTTGTAAAATCATAATCCTAAAACACTGAAAACATTCCAAATCTGATTAACTATATTCTACAGTTGGAGTTACTATTCACATCTCTTGATCATCTGAATAATTTTTTTATATTTTATTTTTTTGGGACACAAAACCATTCAATATCTTGCATTAATCAACCCAAATTATAACCATCCTTTTGGTCAGCAAAAAGAGAGGCACATAAAATTCATTTTTTCTTCCAACCAGTATCATTTCATCTAACAACCATTTTAATAGGTTCAACTTTCATATCATGGACCTATTTCAATAAGTAAACAGTATATTTTCTTTGTTGGAAAGAAAAGGAAATATTTCGCTTCCCTTCTAAAAAACCATAGCACTAGAAGAAAATTTTTGACAATAAGGGAGGCATTTCCCTTTAAAAAGTATCTTAGTGGAAAACAATGAGTCTTCCAATTCCCAGCCTCAGTTGAGCTTGTTTAACAAATAATGAAAATATTATACTGCTCTTTTCTTCTCTGTCCTCCTTTCCCTTACCAAATCCAAAACAAAAACAGATAAATAAATTCTCAGATTAAGCAGTTTCAGTTTTCCCCGAACAGATCATGACTAAATATAAGTGTATAAGTGTTGAAATCAAGTCACTGACTAAAACCCACCAGTAAACAAATAGATCCGAGAAATTAGTCCAAAATCCACAAAAGAAAGAATATGATTAACAGTGTACGAAGAAATTAAGAATTGTAAAGAACAGTAAGGAAAAAATTTGGTTTTGACTCGTATATTTACCTTTTAATGACGTCCCAGAAAGCAAAAGGAATGGGCAAGGATATTTTTGCCTCTCTCTCGCTAAGCTGTTGATTTCGAGGGGGAGAGGCTTATCAGAAGATCGAGAGGGACAACGAGAGAACCGAAATGCTATCGATAGTTTCACTTCTATTGCTGCTAATTGACTATGCGTTTTCTACTTCAGTATCGAATTGGGGGCAAAAGCCCATGGACCCTAAGCTAGTGGGCTGGGGCACTTGGGGTCCATTAATAGCTTGATTAGACCCATCACTGTACTAGGCCCATTTAAAGAAAATAGCTTTTAGCCCATGTTTTGTAGTATATGGAGTATGTATTCAATTGAAACTTTTAGCCCTTGTTTGTGAGAGCTTTTCTTTCCCATTTGCAGCAATTTTTTAGTCGTTACAATTGAACATGGGTAACTTTCCAGTCGGAATATTTTACTGTCTCAAAATGAAATACCAATACTGCCCTTGTCTCATGAAGAACGCATGAAATGTTAAGGGGCAAAAACGTCATTCAGTCTTAAAATAGTAAAAAATTACGACTGGCCTTATTTGACAAATATGTATAACGGTCATATTTTGGCTGCAATTGGCAACAAAATCTCTTCCAAAGAAGACCTTAATGACTTTTGGGATTTAAAAAGTTTAGAAGTATTCAATATAGATTTTTTGATACTCTCTAAAAGTATTGATGTATTCAATTAAAACTTTTTTAAGAGGCCTCCAAAAGTTACGGTATATTTAATTAAAATTTTTTATAATTTTCTATAAGTTTTGGAATATTCAAATTTTAATAACTTCTAGATACTTTTATAAAAGTCTCTGAAATTTTATATAGTCTCTAAAAAGCTAACTTTTAAGTATAAAGTACTCATATAAAATCTCAAAATTTATCTCTTATTGATCACTAAATATTCAAAAACTTTCACAAAAAAAATACTAATAAATATTCAATTGGATTCTTGTAAAAAATAAAAGATTTTGGGAGATTTTGTCTCTTATTAAATTGGATTCTTGTAACTTTTTTATCTTTTTTTATTCATTTTTGTGAAAAATATATCTATATTTTATTAAATTATAAAATTTCATATGAAATTAAATTTCAATGTATTGATTTTTTATTTATTTTTAGAAGTATATTATACTAATAATAGTGAATATTAAATTTATTATTTATCATATATATGTATAATTTTGATTATTATTTATTTAATTAAGGTATTAAATTTTTATTCTTTAATTTTTTTATTTTTTTATTATTTTTTTTTGATGGGTAGTAGTTTCATTCATAAAGGAAAAAAGCCTTAAGAAAGGGTACAATAGTGCTTATAAATGAAAATTACATTTTCAATGACAGAAGGAACACTATGCCACCAAAGGACTGTGTCTTCTAGAGACCATGCATGTCGCGCCAAAAAATGCGCTGCTTGATTGGTGAGTCTGTTGCAGTGATGGAGGCTACATTTAGGAAAACGCTGCATTAATTCCTTTATTTTGGCCGCCTAAGATCGGATTGATGCAGAGGTTAAAACTGATTTATTGACTTCATTAACGAGGAATAAACAATCACTCTCCACCAACAAATGAGATATGCCGAGATTGAGGCAAAGTTGTAGCCCTCTTACAAGTGCCGCAGCTTCAATGTGTTCAGGTTCGAGAAGTGAGTTTTCAGGCCGACTTGCAGCCAAAATTATTTCTCCGTCGTGATCATGTAGAATAATACCGAGTCCAGCTTTATTTGAATCAAAGAACAATGCGCCATCAGTATTGAGTTTTAATGCATTCGTAGGTGGTGCAGACCACCTATATTTTTGGAGAGGCACACCGGGAGTGACGTTGATAGTAAGGCCCGATTCAGCAGGAGGTTTTTTAGCTAGTGCAGTAGCAATAATTTGTTGTGGTGAGAGGTGAAGCTGATCATGAACCATCTTGTTCCGACGGAACCAAAAACCCCAAGTAATGAGTAGAAATTCCGAGAGAGCATCCTTTGAAACTTTTGTTAATATATCAATAGCCGCTTGCATAAAACCTCCTAGATAAGCCTTAGTCTTTAACACTGGAAACCGATCGGTAAGTAATTGATAAATAGAAGGACAATGGAGTAGAACATGGCATAGATCTTCCACTGGGTAATTGCAAAAACAGCAATGAGGAGCAATAGAAACTCTTCGTCGGACCAAATTTTGTTTAGAAGGCAAGCTGTCTTGACAAGCTCTCCAAGCAAAGATCTTTACTTTTTGAGGAATTTTTAGCCGCCACATGGTATCCCAAAATTTCTTATTTTCAGCAGCACGCGATGAAGTCCCAGGATCAGGAGCGAGGCAGTTTTTGAAAAATCTATATGCACTGCTAACAGTATAGGTTTCGGATTTGTCATGTTCCCACAGCTAGAAATCTTCTTCTCCTGAGTGGCTAGGATATAATTTCAAAGTAGCCTCCACAAGTTTTGGATAGAATAGAGTTCGAAGCTTTGCCAAATTCCACCACCTTAAGTTATGATCAATCAAAGAGGAGACTGGACCTTCAAGTTGCTGACTATGATTTTGCTGTAAAACAGTCCCTAACTCCCGTCTTAGATAACCTATGCCAGGGATCCATTTATCATTCAAAATATGTATAGTGTTGCCATTTCCCACAACCCATCTCCCCCCTAGGACCAATAGATTTTTAGCCTCCCAGATTCCACGCCAAGCATAAGAAGGGTTACAACCAATAGATGCCTTCAAGATGTTCCCATGAGGAAAATAACGAGCCGAGAATATTCTATAAACCAATCTATCGGTGTGGTGCAAGAGCCTCCAAGCTTGTTTACCTAGCATAGCCATATTAAAGATTTGAAGCTCTTTAAAACCCATGCCCCCAAAGGATTTCGATTTACACATAACATTCCAGGATTGCCAATGAATTTTCCTCTCTTCTTTCCGTTGGCCCCACCAAAATCTAGCCATCGTCTTCTCAAGTTCAGTGCATAATGTAGAGGGGAGTTTGAAGCAACTCATAGCATAGGAGGGAATTGCCAAAGCAACTGATTTGAGGAGAATTTCTCTACCACCTTGGGAGAACATACTACTTTTCCATCCTTGCAACTTCAGCCAAACTTTATGTTTTATGTCCGAGAAAGCTCGAGTTTTTGATCGACCAACCATAGGTGGTAATCCAAGATATTTGTCATATTGTTGTACCTGAGGGGCATTCGAGAGGGCCATAATTGATTCTTGCTTGTCTTGACTTACATTTGCACTAAAAACCATTGAGGTTTTATCCCTGTTCAATTGTTGACCCGAGGCATCCTCATAACTACTTAGAAGAGCTTGTAGCCGAGACGTAGTGCTCTCATTAGCTTCACAAAAAATCAAGCTATCATCCGCAAAGAGAAGATGATTTAAACTTGGAGCTCCTCTGCACACTTGAATACCAGTCACATTTTTATTTCTTTCTGCCTTATTCAATAGATTAACCAATCCTTCCGTACATATAAGAAATAAGTAAGGAGAGATAGGATCTCCTTGCCTTAAGCCCCTGGAGGGGGTGATGTGACCAGTGGGAGAGCCATTGATGAGGATCGAGAAAGAAGTCGTAGTAACACATTTCATCACCAGTTGAATAATCTTGTCATGGAAGCCCAATTTATGCATCACTGCTTCAAGGAATGACCACTCGACTCTATCACATGCTTTGCTCATGTCGAGCTTAAGGGACATATAACCTTTCCTGCCCTTCTTTTTCCTTCGTAAGAAATGGAGTACTTCATAGGCCGCAAGCACATTATCTGTAATAAGTCTCCCTTTAATAAAGGCTGATTTTGTTTCCAAGATTACCGTAGGGAGCACTGTTTTTTTTCCTGTTTGCCACAACTTTTGAAACCAATTTATACAGGACGTTACAGAGGCTTATAGGCTTGAAATCCTTAACTGTCTGGGGGTTTTTTGTCTTAGGGACAAGTGTAATAAAGGTGTGATTTATATCTTGGGAAAACTCACATGTATTTAAAACATGTAGTACCGCATTTGTAACAGAGGAACCAATAAGAGGCCAGAATTGTTGAAAAAAAAGAGGAGGCATACTATCAGGACCCGGAGCTTTAGTAGGGTGCATCTCCTTCAAGGCCTGGGAGACTTCGATTTCTGTAAAAGTTTGAATCAAATCTATGTTCATATCATAAGTCAACTTGCATTCTAAATTATCGAGGACAGCGGCATGATTTCGTGAGCCGGTAGAGGAGAATAAATCAGAAAAGTAGTTGGTGATTAGCCGGTTACATGCCCCTCCATCCTGCCAGCAGCCTTGATCATCTAAGAGTTTAGTAATCGAATTTGTTTTTCTTCTTTGGGAAGCTTTAGCATGGAAATAACGAGTATTTTGGTCACCCTGTTCAAGCCATGCAGCCCTAGGCTGCTGCTTCCACATAAGTTCTTCTCTATCCATCCAGGTTTGCACCTTTTCAGCACTTGTTCGAAGTGCCTCAGTATTTATAGTTGCAGGATCTTTCTTCTGGATTTGAGACAACTTCGTTCTGGCTTTGTTAAGCTCCGCTTGCACTCTTCCGAATTTAGATCGATTCCAAAGTTGAAGTTGACTGCTACAGCAGCTTATATTCCTCATAATGCTTTCTAGATTTTGAGACTTAGTATCAGACCACTGATTTAACACAATGTCAGAACATGCTTTTTCACCAATCCACATTGATTCAAAACGAAATGGTTTAGGGCCTTTAAGTGTTTGAGAAGCACCTTGAAGCTGGATCCAAAGAGGACGATGATCTGAGTATGTAGTTGAACCATGAGTAACCATAGCTTGTGTAAAGAGCCGACACCAAGAATCATTAGCAATGAAGCGATCAAGCCTTTCAAAAATTTGGTTAGTGTCATGTCTTCCATTATACCACGTGTAATAGGGGCCTTTAAACCCAAGATCTCTGAGCTCACATTCGAGAAACATATGCTGAAAATTTTCTAGTTGTTGTCTAGGTCGATCACGACCTCCCCATTTTTCTTCGTTAGATAGGATTTCATTGAAATCACCAAAGACAAGCCATGCCTCTGAAGAGTTTCTTTTCAGCCTCTTCAATAAATTCCAAGTTTCCATGCGTTTAGTTGTCTCGGGATGGCCATAGATTCCAGTTAAGAACCAACAATGTAGAGGTGACTCAATTTTAGCGTCAATGTGCTTTGTAGAGTAACCCAGGATTGATAAATTTACATTAGATTTCCAAAGGAGTGCAATTCCACCACTACGGCCCACTGCCTGAACATTTAAGCAGCCATAAAACTTTAATTTAATCCGACAGAGTTCCATGTTTGCAGCATTAAGTTTTGTTTCTTGCAAGAACAAAACATCGGGATCTTCTTTTCTGATAAGATTAGAAAGAGCATGAATGCCACGAGGGTTCCTATGCCCTTGTGCATTCCAGCTAAGTAGTTTCAAGGGGATCGGTGGGGCTGAATTTCAGCCACCACCGAAAGCTGAGAGTTGTGGTCAAAATCCTGTTCGGATGTCTTTTCTTCGCCCTTCAGTCTTTTAGGCATTTGGACAGTTGTACCATTTTCAGAGGGGAAATCCAGGGATCGCTTGAGACTTGTTTGCGGAGGGGGAACAATAGAGTGAATTGCGTGGTTCGTATTTAGTCTTTTCCATCTTCGAGTGAAATTTGCTCCCTTTGCTCCAGTTAAGACCTCCGCAGAGTTGGATGAAACAGGATCTGTTTGTAAAAGGCCATGAGTACCCTTAGTCTGAGTATCAGCAAGACCACTGTGACGAGTATTCTCCGCCGTTAGATTATCCATAATGGCATCAGTCTGTAGAGGTGTTAGCTCCAGATTGGTTGCTGTCCGTGACGCTGTAGAAATTCCTTCAAAATTGGTTTGTTGTAACTCCTGGGAATTTGTCAAATTCAGCAACATTGCAGGATCTCCCTTGCCATAGGGTTCCAGTAATTGGTCCTTATTTGTCAAATTCACCAGGTTAACATGAGTGATATTAGCGGAACTCGGGTCAGAACTTGGGTTTGCAAGGCTATTCGGAGAGTCAGGAGTCCGGGAATTTATTTGACGATCGACAATAGGACCGCTATAATCACTAGAATTACCAGCACGTAACCAAGGACCATAGGAATAATCAGAGGTGGTGTATGCCTCCATAGCAGGTTTCCATAGAATGTAGTCTTTGTGACCATGTCCCAGCACACCACACAGGTAACAAAAATTTGGTAGTCGCTCATAGGAAAATCGAGTCCAAAAAGGTTTGTAAGAGCCGACGTATATTTTCTTTCCACGCAAGAGAGGCTTTGAAATGTCAAGACAAACCCGAACATGAAGGAATTCGCCCCTTGCAATCTCGATTTTATCGATATCAACTTCAATAACCTTACCAAGTTGCCTCCCAATAAAATCTCCCATTTTCCAATTTCGAACCATGACATGGAGGTCATGAATTCGTACCCAGAAGTTCGCCTCAGAAAACAAAATTTGGTGGATTTGCTCAAGACCATCAACATCTTTGGTGAGGACCAATTGCTTACCAAAAACCCATGGGCCCTCACACTTAACACGGTCTTTGTCTCTGTTGTCATCAAACTCAGCAATGTGTAAATTAGGGAAAAGGTCATGAATGCTTAAAGTTCGATTTGGATGCCATAACCGCCTCATAGTTCCTTTGAAGGCTTCTTTATTGAAGTGCTTGCTGGATAACAGTTTGAAAAGCAAGCATTTGTCACTGCGATGGGGAATCAGCACCTCATCTTCCTCCACCAGTAAGACGTCTTCCTCTTGTGCTATGAGAGAAAGTTTTGCACACAAACTGGCAATAGTTGACTCCATGGAGAGAGAGCTCGAATACACAAGATGAAGCCTGCACCGAAGCAGGGGGGCAACCTCTACTCAGGGATCCGTGAGAGGAGAAGGAACCCTCGAGAGGGTAGAAGGCGGTGGAAAATCGCCTCGCAAGAGAGAGAAGACCAACAGTTATGTGAGGTCTTCTTATTTTATTATATAGGTAGGAAAAGGGAAATTGTGGGAAACAACACTTCGTATGAAAGAATTTCATAACGTTGTACTAGATCAATGGGAATTTTATTTCCAATGAAAGTCTTCAAAAAAAAATTTGAACTCTATAAAAGTCTATAAAATTTTTAAAATAAAAGTCCATAAATATCAATGAAAAACTTCCATTAATTACATATAAATCTATAAAAGATCAACGAAATCTACAAAAGTCATCATTTAAAAAAGTCTTCAAAAGTTTTAATAGAATATACCTCCAAATTAAAGTCAACAATTAATTTTAATAACATATTTTATTAGACTCACAAATTCAAGTCTTCAACCACACATTTCATTAGCTTTTATTAAAAATTGCTAAAAATTTAATTTTAATCCCTACCGAACAATAATTTATTTTAAAATATCCCACAAATACATAATCTTGAATTTTAAGGGCAAATTTCTTTATTCTCACCCCATCGCAACTACTACCACCTCCAACCTTGCCACCATCGATGACCGCAAGTACTCCTCAAGTGAAGACAGGGATGTCGTGTTCCAGTCTTTACCCACTGACTTGGGGATTATGATAAAGGTTACGAATAAAAAAGTGTGTCAGAGTAAAAAGTTTGAATTTTTCTAGAATAAAGTTGTGGGTACAGATTATTTTTACAGGAAAGCTACAGATTTTTGAAATGTGTGATGTGGCACCAATGAATAATATTTAATTAAGATAAGAAAAAAGGGGGAAAAAATGACGTCAAATGGAAACCGCGAAATCTTAGCCATTTTCCCATTAATTTCTCTACAAGAAAGCCCGACCTCCAAGAGTAGAACCCAGCCCGCCCTCCATCGAACGCCGCTCATAGCAGGGTCAACCGACGCGTTCTCCCTGCCACAAAGTAGAACCCAGCCCGCCCTCCATCTACCGCTTAATTTGACTCAACGCATTCTCATCGGCGCATTCTCCTTCCTAAAATGGTGCTGTAGCTGTCGTCGAAATATACGAAATATAGTGCAGATTCAATCCAAGTGAGTTCTCTGCAGTCTTCCTCAGATTGGCCTTCTTATTTTGTACATCAAGTTGTTTTTATTTTCTCATTTAGCTTCTTACACAAATTTCGTATGTGGCAAAAGAGAAATTCAATTAAACTTCTAACCTTTTCTTACACACATTTTAGACGTGGTGAAATCCTTGTTTCTGATAAGGTTTTAGTTTATTAGAAGTTTAATAGAATTTCTCTTTCCCCCCTAATATGTAACTTAAGCAGATTTGATTAGTGCTTGAAAATGAATATTTCTTCGGACTTTAGTTGGTTTTTTTGTCAAGACTGTAGTTGATTTTTGTGTCGAATTTGGCTATGAAAAGCTTGTATGTCACAGAATTCACTGACTTTGGTCTGAAATTTTGGTATACATATGTGAATTCTGCTTGTTGATCAGTTTTGCAATTACCAGTTCATTGTTGGGTAATCTTATAATCATGAATTATTGTGGCAGAAAAGGAGATAATGGAAAACGGCAATGAAGATTTGTTGTGGGAATGTGATAACGAGACTGTTGTTGAGAATTTGAATACATTGGATAGCGAAAATATAGGAGAGGATGCGACCGTGCCTGCAGTGGGTATGATGTTCAACGATGAGAAGGAAATGTTTGAGTTGTATAACAGATATGCTTATACCATAGGATTTTCAGTTAGAAAAAGGAATTCCAAAAAATGGGAAGATGGAATTATCAGATATGTGACGTTCACATGCAGTCGTGAAGGTCGAAGAAGTTATGCTACAGGCGGATCCTTGAAACCGCAACCTTCAAGTCAAACAAATTGTAAAGCAAGAATATCTGCGTCTTTAGATACTCTTGGGGCTTAGAGAATTAATAAAGTGCACCTGGATTACAATCATAAAACGAGTCTTTCCAAGTCTAGGTTGTATAGATGCAACTGAAAATTGAGTGCAAGTGTGAAGCGAAAGCTAGAAGTGAACGATTTGGCAGGAATTTCGTTGCACAAGAGTTATAATTCCGCAGTTGTTGAAGCTGGTGGATATGAGAATACTACTTTCGTGGAGAAAGATTGTCGGAACTACGTTGAACAAGTGAGACGATTACGCCTTGGAGAAGGGGATGCTATAGCAATATAGGCGTACATTTCAAATATGCAAGCACGGTGCTCATGATTTTACTTTAGCATGGACTTAGATGAGGAATGTAAGCTAAATAATGTTTTTTGGGCAGATCATAGATGTAGGCAGTCTTACAAAGAGTTCGATGATGTTGTTACTTTCGATACTACGTACTTGACAAATAAGTACAACATGCCATTCGCCCCTTTTGTTGGGATGAATCATCATGGATAGTCCACACTGTTGGGGTACGGACTGCTATCAAATGAGGACACCAGGACTTTTGTGTGGTTGTTCAGAACATATCTTGAGTGCATGCATGGACAAGCTCCTAATGGAATCATTACTGATCAAGACCGGGCAATGCAAAATGAAATCAAGATTGTTTTCCCGAACACGAAACATAGATGGTGTCTATGGCATATTATGAAAAAGTTGCCAGAAAAGTTCGGATATCATGGTCATAAGAGCTCGATATTTTCTGCAATTCATGGATTGGTCTATGATTCTGAAAATGGTCATGAATTCGAAGAAGGTTGGAGGTTGATGCTGGAAATGTACGAATTACATGATAATGATTGGTTAGCGGGGTTGTATGAAAACAGAGGTCGTTGGGTGCCTTGTTTGTTGAACACCACGTTCTGGGTAGGTATGTCGACTACACAACGAAATGAGAGTATGAATGCCTTTTTTGACGGGTATGTGCATTCTAAAACCTCACTTAAGCAGTTCGTCGAGCAGTTCGAGAGAGCACTACGAAGTAAGGTTGAAAAGGAGTTTCAAGCTGATTTCAAATCGTACTCCCAAATGGTGCCGTGTGCGACAATTTTTGAAATGGAAAGGCAATTTCAAGCAGTGTATACAATTTTAAAATTCAAAGAAGTTCATGATGAGTTCACTGGAAAGGTATATTGCGACATCATATTTGAAACTGCAAATGATTGCTACTGGTCGACTTACGAGGTCCATGAGCTTGTCGCACTTAACGAGAGCCGAAAGATGAAAACATTTAGCGTATCATTTCGGAGGGATACATGCGAATTGATTTGTAGTTACCACCTGTTTGAATTTCGGGGAATCATTTGCAGGCATGCAATTGCTGTCTTACTCCGTAATAAAATTATGTCGATGCCTGATCGGTACATAATAAGAAGATGGAGAAGAGACGTCAGTAGAGCACACAGTAGAATTGCAGTAAATTATGATGGACTGGCAAATACTCCTGGACAGTTGAGGTACGACGAAATGTGTCAGGCTTTCTCTGAGGTAGCGGACCTTGCAGCAGACGATGAAGGATGGTCACGTAGTATAATGGACTCGATAAGATCGCAAGCGAAGGAATTAAGCAATACAAAGTCCAATGTCACGAGTGCTGGCCCCACCCAGATGGTAAGTACTAATGCAGACATATTAGATCCTGTATTGTGTAACCGAAAGGGAGCACCGAGGAAACTTAGGAGGAAAAGCCTGTTAGAGTCCACCTCAAAAAGAGTAAAGGTAATGTCTTACTATTATTATCTTCGTTGAGTTGCCTTTTTTAAACAAATAATTGTTTTACTTGTCCAATTTGCAGGCTAGTGTATCATCGAGCAAAGGAAAGAGACCTACACTTCGTCGTAGTAACACAGAAAAGACGTCCATGGATTTCCAGGCAGCTCAACTTCCACAGTGTTCCATGTCGACGCCATTACAATATGTCATCCGGCCGACGCCTACAAATGTTGTACTTAATGCTCAAGGTATGCATTAAATTGGCCTCGCCAACGTTCGAAAAACAAGTTGTTGATTTGCTTTAATTGTTGTTAAGAGTAATGCATTAATTCACAGTGGTACTTACGCTTTAATTCCTGCTAAGAGCAATGCATTATTAAGTTGTCACTTATCAATGAATTTCATTTTTAATCTATGTATGTCACCATCTTTTGCTTTAAATAGTTTGGTTAGATGTAAAAAATGACATTAAATGGATGGGGCAGAAACTATCTATGTGGGAAGAGTAGCATTCTGAGAATAAAGGTGAGGATGAGAGTTAATGAACTGCATGAATTGATGGAATAGGCAGATATGTCAAATGACAGATACTTAGTGTAAATGACATACACTACTTCCTCTACTTTTACCTGCTTCAATTGACATCCATAGTTGACTACTTCACTGCTTCAATTGCATGAATATGTGTTCTAAATTTTCACTTTCGAAATCAGGTCTAGTCATGCCATACGCCTATTCACATTTTCCCGAAGAAGGTGGCACCAGCTTCTGATCACCAAACAAGAAAATGTTTCTTAGAGGTAAAATTCATTCATTTTTAGGCATGGCTAAGCATGGGATGGACGTAGTTAATTTTGTATTTTTGTTTATTTTAGGAAGGTGATGCTGCTTTTTCTGTACCGAATACGTTGGTGGTGACTCTAGAAAGAGTTCTGGGGAACGAGACCGTCGGTAAGGTGCTGTGGTGAATTTTATGGATTCTACTTCGTTTTTGTGCTGACAGTTATTGGAACTTGTAACATGTAACAAGTGCTACTCCTAATAGAAGTCCAGACCCGAATATGGTGCATTTTCCCGATAAAATGCACATTTTTGTTTTTGCTGAAACGTTAGGAATTGCTACTGGTTGCTCCTACTGTCCATTAGGAAAAAGTTCAGTAATTAATGTTGAACAAGGATGTGTATCCATCTGCTGTTATTTGTATGCTGTAGAAGTATAAA